GCTCTCCTTCCATGCACCTCTGCTTGAGTTAGTCGATAAGGTGCAAATCTGCATTGCTTTCTGCCAGCTCAAGCTTTCATCTCAGGGGCCATGGGACTGCAAAAGAAGGCATGCTACGTGCGTGGCTGCCATGCTTGGAGGTGCAGTCGTTATCCCCTCATTGCTTCAGGACCCATGAAACGCGTCCTTAGCAAGCCCATGACGATTTGGACAGTTCCCCAGTATCTGTCACCGGGGTGCTGCTCAACACATCCCAGCTGGGCTCTCAGACCCAGCCCAAGGTCCTGGCACAAAGGGCAGGGACTCTCACAGCAGGAGCCTCTGACTTCCCCCTGCTACAGCCCCTCATTTATAGGGGCCCCATGCAGGGATGGACCCCCAACACTGGTGATACTGGCCCCATGCTGTGACCAAGTGAGCTACAGCACCAGGCTGGCAGCTGGACTTGCACCAAGCACAACTTTTCCCCTTTCAAACCTGTTTCAGCCCCCTTCCCTGCCTGCCCATGCTGCTCTCATGCAGGCTCCTCTGCAGCCATTGCACTGGAAGTCGGTTTTGCTCATGAAGGGCTCTTCTGCAGCCCTGTGTGAGCTCACCTCCACTTGCTACAGCACAGATCAGAAAACCCAGCCCCACACCCGCCCTTTGCCACGGCTCCTGCTGGCACTGCCCCAGGCACAAGAGGCTGCTCCAGACCTCACTGCCATCCAGAAGTGCCATGGGAAAGTCCCTGGCAGCTGCAACCCTCTTGGAGCAAGTCTTGCAAGGGGAAAATACCAGGCTGCTGGAGCAGGCATCAGGTTACTCCAGGCACCCCTTGGAGCCACAGCCATAAATTAGAGGAGCAATTAAGTAACAGACCTCTGCTGCGGACAGGGGGGAGCTGGGCCAGTCTTGAGGGGGAAATCGGAGCCGATTTCTGAAAGCAGCGGGGCCACGAGGTTGGCAGAGGTTCCTTGTGGAGGAGCTTTCACGTTGGTGGCCCTGTGCTCGCGCCCTGGCACAGGGCTCCAACTGGACGGGAGCTGCGCAGGGCAGCATGGGAGTGCCGCCTGTTGCAGCCGCTGACATTTCCCCTGGAAGACACAGGTCCCCTTGAGACCTACTGACAGCTTTTGGCACTTCCCAGAAAGCGCTGTCTCAGCCCCAGAGGTGCGGGAGGGACGGAGCTGCCCATCGCCAAGGGCAGGACCTGCATCTCCTTTCACCTCTCACTGTGGCTTCCCTACTTCACTGCTGCTTTTCCATGTGCCCCTTCCCTGCCTCCAGGGACAGCAGGGTGACAACGCGACCCTCATTTCCTCCACCCCTCACCCTGGCCAGGGGAACAAGGGAACGCCCAAGCAAAACCACTACAAACTAGGCTGGATGGGGAAGAGGAGTTTTCTTCCCTGCATCCTGTGGCAAATGCTCTTGCAGTGGCTTGGGAGCAGGTTGCAGGGTGCTGGAGAACTTCAGGCCCAAACTTTTTCTCTGGTTCCCTTTAAGGTTATTCTCATCCATGAAGTTTTTGAGCAAAGCCACTCCCATGGACATCCTCCGACAAGGCCAGGTTCTCTACCCCAGCGTTGCCACTCAAAAGGCACCATCCTACATGTAAGCAGGACGGGGAGGGAGCCTCAGTCTGCTCGAGACCCTGCAGGACATGAGCAGCTCCAGGGCCAGAGGATGCATGACCCAGGTTCACAACTACCAGAGGGGACAGCTGCAGGTCAGCACTCCCAGTGTCACAAGCAACCTGCCCTGTCCTCCGTGGTTAAATGGACTGCAAGTGGCCTGGAGGAGGGTCCTCGAACGGAAGTCATGGAGCACTGGGAAATGCTACGTGCGATAACAGGGAGATGTTGTTTCTGTTACGGAAAGAGCAAGCTTTCAATGGTGAGCATGTCACAATTGCTCTTCCCCTCTTTGGCATTAGAAACCCGCAAGGGAAACGCCATTGACAATAGAGCAGCTGCAGTCGTGGATGGTAACGACTCATCTGGGAAGACCTTGATCTCTGCCTGCTTGGAAATCTGGTCTAACCACAAAGCCTCTCCTTGGAGCTTGGACGGGAGCAGATGATGTGCAGAACACACAATAAGCCTTGAATGACTGATTCCCAGCAAAGAGTCCAGACAACTCTTTGCTCTGGCCAATTTACTCTGACTGAGTCCACGAGGATGTTGCATTTAGTGCAGGCACTGCCTTGCATCCTCTTGCAGGAAGCTCCCCCAGGTTGGCAGCAGCTACTTCAATGGAAGCAGAATAGTTTGAGCTCACGGCACTCCTGTTGTACAGTAAAAACACTTTGCATGTAGCTAGGAGCATTGTTCTGCCTATACGCTGGATGGACAGGGAGGGGGGAAGGGGGCAGGGGGAAGCCCTGCTGGGCTCCGGCCCAGAATGAAAGCAACACAGGAAGTCATCTTTGACGCGCCGGGACATAGTGCAAGCTTGGGCAAGAGGGCAGGTATAGCTTGATTTCCAAAAGCACCACAAAAGCTCTGAACTGAGTCCGAGATAACAGGGGTGCTTGATACCTCTGGCAGTCCGGATCACCCTGGACCATCGTGGCTGCTACAAACACTAAGCCTGCCGCAAGGCTCTAAGGCAGTGGTTTTCAACCTGTGGTCTGCAGACCCCTGGGGGTCTGCAGACTAAGTCATCTTTCATTGACCCTTGAGACGATGATCAATCAAAAATATGTGAATGCCCACACGTACAATTCAAAGGGCCCGTGCCTCCATTCAAAATATTTTAGGGGTCCGCAAATGAAAGAAGGTAGAAAACCACTGCTCTAGGTTTTCACTCTGCTTGCAGTGCAAGAAGTTGAATGAGGAGTCAGGGTCTCAGTCTAAAAGACTGGTCTTGGCGCTTGCTTGCCTGGAGATCCACCGAGGGGAAGTAACGAACGGCTGGGCTACGCTGCAGCAGCCCATCAAGGTCCACAAGGCCATGACTGCTCAGCATTTTATCCACAATGCACTCCATCCATATCCCCTGAGGTTTCTGGAGCTCCGATGAGAGACGGGAGCACACGAC